CCAGGAAGTGATGTCACTCTAATCTGGGAAATTCCAACTTTAGTGCAACATCATTAATATGATGTATTTTTAAATATTTTGCTTTGTTACACCAATGACAGAATTTTTTTATACGCATATATATCTCATGATTTTTATTTTTTGTAACAGCTTATTTATTCTATAGCCTACCAGAATTTAAAATATGAATGTTGATTTGAGTATTCAATTTAATTTTTTTAATTAAAACATCAGTCATTTTAAGTTGTTGTAGGTTAAAGACATTGACAGAATCTACTGACAGCATGAAGTCACTGATATCTTGTTACAAAATAATTTTTTTTTATTACTTTAAGCAATGAAATTGTAAATTTTGGTGTTCTTAGAAAAAGTTTAGGTATTCTTAAACCCTATGATACTGTTTATTTTTCCAAAAACATTATTTTTTCACCTTCAAATTAATACTAACGCGAAAGTCTGCATATTTTGATAATGACCCATTTATGAAAATAAAACACATTATTTGTGAATATTTTTTAAACCTATGGTTAAAAATACCATAAAACTAGTCACAACTGAGGAGAACATGTTTGTCAAACATATTTCAAAAAGAAATTGAAACGAAATTGAGAAATTTTAGAGAAATTATCTTTTTAATATTTGGACCTAACCCGATCAAAATTAAACTGATCCCGATCAAAATTAATACAAAATTAATAAAATGCTAATTCACTGTATTTAAAACGAAGAAATCTATTTTATTGTCATGTTCATTAATGTTTTAATCCTTATTACACTTTATCAGACTAGTGTTCTTGGGGAAATGTATTTATTTCCAATAAATATGCAATTATGGTTGTGACCGGTTTAATTTTGATCGGGATCGGCCAAAATTAAAAAAAACTAATTTCTCTAAAATTTGGCCATTTCGTTTCAATTTCTTTTATAAATATAATTAACGAACATGTTCTCCCCAGTTGTGACTGGTTTAAAGAAAATTTTAACCACAAATTTAAAAAATATTCACAAATTATAAAATTGAATATATATACGGCTTTTCTACACATATTTTATTAGATACTAATGTGATGCATTAATTTACAGCGAAAATTTTTCAAGAAAGCATCTTATTTTGATGGAAATAATTTTTTTCATTTTCTTTGAAAAAATACAAAAAAAATTCATATAAAATAATTGAGAGCTAATGTCGGCCTTTCAATGCTGAAACCATTGTTTAAAAAGGTTGGCTCACAGATCTATAAAATAAAAATTTGGTGTGGCATTCCTCCTTAATTGCATTTCTTTTTATTTGGCACAGTATAAAACGTGCTTTATCCTTGTCTGCTGCAGCAAAAATTTCGTATTTGTGAGAAATTAAAATTTTACATATAATGAAAATCCTAAGGAAATGTATATGCTAATATTCTCACCGCTTCAAATTTCGTCAAACAGGATTCGATCAGATTCAATTCTTACCCGATTATTTATTTATCTTTAATTTTTATTTATACTGCATTTTTACACCATGCCATTAAATTCTCAAATACCATAAACAATCAAGAGGAATTAAACAAATCTGCATTAGTTGATCAAACAATGTAGTTCAATGAATCATTTGTAGCAAATAAGATAAAACAAACCCTTATCATTTATTTTTATTAAAAATAAAACACTATTTTCAATCTTTGACGGACATTTTGTTTGGGCGGACATAACGAGACGACAATTTTGGATGATCGGCGGACACTTCGTGACGGCGGAAATAGTGTGACGATTTTTTTTTTTTTTGGGGGGGGGGACGGACATTTCTTGGCGGCGTACATAATATTGCCATTTTTTTGGGAGAAAGGCGGACTTTTTGTAGCGGCGGACATAGTGTGACGATTTATCCGAAAAAGAGGCGGACATTTCGTGACAGCGGATAAAACGAGACTCAACAATGGGAAAACACCAATAAATAAATAAATATCGAAATTATATCATGTAAATTAAATATCGTTAATATATTGTAAATGCAATATCACATTCAGTTTTATTGTGCTAAGTGTAGTATGTTCCACGATGCAAGTTCAAATGTTAAAATGCCCAATGAAAATACAAATCAATTTGATTTTGAATGTGGATGATGGCCAAAATCCCTGAAAAAAATCTGTTGAAATATTCTTTTGCCATTAGTTTGAAATAAAATCATACAATAATTTTGCCTTTGATTGAAATTAAATATTTATTTGTTTCATATCTATTAAGATATATCTAACTGTATTTGAAAAAAATAATGAAGTCTAGCTTTGCAAAGATGGAGTTTTACCACAAAATAGAATAGAATAATTTTCATAAATATGCCACCTAAAAAGTCTTTTTTTATTATTTTTTCAGATGAAATAAAAAAACCAAAGTCTGTTATTCCTCCAAATGTCAAAGGTATGTTATTGAATACAAAAATAATAATTGGCAAATTTTACAAAAATTAATTAACCTTGACTTGTTTCAATTAAAACAATATATTGTATATACATTCTGGTTTATATTCCCATGGTGGCAATGGGATTGACAAATTATATTAAAATGGTACAGAATCTGAATCTTAATTTAAAACGTTTTAGTATCAATACATCTTGAAGGACTTTCTTAAATACATAAAAAGAAGAATTCATATATTCCTTTCCTTCAGAATTGTGCAAGAGATAAGAAATTATAAAATCTACCTTATTTGCTCTTGTATATTGATTGATTGTATATTGTTTAACGTCCCTCTCAAGAATTTTTCAATCATATGGAGACTTCATCGTACGCCTGTAAAGGGCTTCAAATCTAGACATATTCTTAGTCTGTATCAACCAGATTTTTGTGTTTATCTCCATAAAACAGTTTGTGGAGGTAAACGCATTTGTCTGGATGATGCAGACTAGACCTATACTGGGCACTCAGTCCATTGAGTAGTGAGTGTTTTTTATCGTGACACAGTACCTACATTTGTAAGCTCATATCGACATACCCGTGACTTTCACTTATAGTGCTGAGCTCTTGGCGAAGGAAGTCACCACCTTTGTTTACGTCTTAGGTATGACGCAGCGCCGCGAACGAGAATCGAACCCGAGCTTATGCTCTACCACAAGGCTACCGTGACCGGTGCTCTTGTATATGTAAAGAAGTCGGTTCACTTTATGCTTAAAATGGCCCTGTAGATGTACCAATTGATTAATTAACATTAGAATTTTCCATTTGAGGCATTAAAATAAAATAGAGACTTAGTGCTTTCGTTTTCTATTAAAAATTTTCTCCTAAAAGTCCAGGTATTTGAGAACTGGCTCTATGAAATTGCAATGTTCTTGAATTTTTAGGTAAAAAGGTATAATTGAGTGCTTTCAGTGAAGAAAAGTATTATGAGCGCACTCTCTGATCTAAAAAATAAAACATTTCTTTTAATTCTCAGAAACAGTTCTTTCATTTACTAGTTGCATATTTTAGATCAGAGGTTGCGCTCTATATCAAATATTTAAAAATAGGTTTGAAAATTGGCTGTTTTGTAGACTTTTTCAGAAAATATGGAAATTGACGCGTTTCGTGACGTCATTTAAGAAATAAACAACGTTATTTCGTGAACATGGATTTATGAATAGCAATTGCTCTGCTGGCATATTCCATGATGCGCGTTAGCGCATCATGGAAAATATGCCAGCAGAGCTATTTCTATTCATAATGCCATGTTCACTGAATAATCGTTGTTTATTACTTATATTTGCATATGTTGTCAAGAGTATCAGAGGAAATCCTGGCTGACATTAGGATGTGGCTTGTTGTCAATGTCTTCAGTAAAGAAAAACACAAGGCTATAAAACGAGTATAATACCTGATCATTGCACCTTTTCTCTAATAAATCACAAACAAATTGTACAGTATTTGCTTCTTAATAACAGGTATCTGGATACAAACTGCACTGTCGTCACATTCTCTTAATTTTTGTTTTGATGCAGTTGTGACGTCATCGATCAACGTTATCTAAACCATCTGACAAAAATCAATAATTTAACCTTATGATGAAAAAAGGGAATGTTTTAATAATGATTAAAACTCCAGAATGTTTTTCTGTGATTTTTTTAAGTTTTAGTATTTATTTTCAACAGTTGAAATAATTTTGAAATAGACATACTTATTAAAGAATTTTTGCTTTTTCTGAATGTTTATCACCCAAGTGTGAAGAGTTATCGTTATTTGTACAAATATGCAAAAAAAAAAAGATAAGAAAAAATACAAATATGACAGTTCTCTTCAATTTTTAAAAGTTTTATTACACAATTAAATACATTGACCAAAATTAAATTTTTAAAGATATAAATCTGCAATTTTAAATTGTTCTGAATTTCTTTTTTTCCTAAAAATATTAAAAACTTATATTTATTCCTTTTACCGAACATTTCATATATATACTCCTCAACAACAAATACAATTGTATCAGAGCTTGTTCTACACGAATGTGATACAGCAATTGCACTCATAGCAGGAGCAATTGCGTCTATAGCGCTATGAACGCAGTTGAAGCCTGTAGGTTCATAGTGGGAGAGAGCAGTGAGTATGCAAATACAACGCATTGGCTAGACAGAAAATGACGTCATTTTTTATAGATACGCAGTCACCAAAGATCTGAGTGATTATTCAATGCGTTGTTAGTTAAAGTTTCAGTTTTTCAGAAATTCACAGGGCGAAATAAGGCAAAAGTGAACCTAGTTCTTTGTAAAATAATCATTTTTTAAATTTGTATATGTAATATTGAAAAAAGTTTTTTTTCTTAATAATTAATGTTATTTGTCTCTGCTCTTATTTTGTATATTGTTTGATGGACTTTGAGCTAGAATACTGTTTGTCATCTTCATATCCTTCTCAGTCGCCCGCATGGCATAGTTCTTATAACGTCTGCTCCAGAGTCGCAGCGTAAGAAGCTGATCCTTATGTCCCGGGCTCAATTCCACTACAGGACATAGGGACTGTCCTTTCGATAAGACCATATAAACTGCGCAGTAGGTATGGGCATGAAAAAGATCCCACCCTGCTCAAAGGACGAGTATAGGTTTAAATTTGCATCCCATCACCGACAAATGGTGGTGTCTCCAAATGAGCGAAGAATTCTCGAGAGAGACATTAAACAACAAACATTATTTGTTGCTGGTTTGAAAAGTTTAAATATAAAAAATGTCCCAAAAATATGTAATTTTAATCAATTATGAAAACTCACGAAAAAAGAATTTTGCTGCAAGAAGGATGTGGAGATAACGAACAGTATTCAATCTCAAAGTCCGTAAAACAATATAAAATAAGAGGAGATCAAACATCAGATCAGATCAGAGGTGGGATAAATTAATTTTATTATAAAATGTAGTGTACCTTATTTACCTCTTTTGCTTAAATTGAATGTTGATAACTTTTTGTGTTATCTTCAGCACAATCTTGTTTCTTATTATAAGTTTCAATACAAAGCACTTATAAACTAAACGAGAAATGCATTTCAGATTTTAAAATTTAACTTTCAGGAACCAATAATTTTATTCATTTTATGAATTATACAGCAATGGATTCACAATAAATTAACATTTTAAAAAATACATAAAAATTGAGATCGAAATTTTTTTAAAACATAGTTTAGGTGAAAGCAGGGGTAAATGAAAATATGTTCTCAATATGTAAATCGGCTTTCTCAATGAAAATTAGAAAGTTTTAAAAAGTTGGATTACAGTCTAATCTATGGTTTAATCATAATTGATTTTCAAATCTAGAAACTTTTAAATTTCTACAAAAAACCATAAATTGCAAAAATTCTTCACATTCAATCCTGCAAACTTATCTTTGTTATAACCACAAGCATGTACACCATACTTTATAAGAATCTGCTTATTTATTAATTACTCTGAAATCCGGGTAATTACATTAGGCCAAAGTAAAATTATAGTTTGTTTGGAATTGCCTCCCTCCTCATTGAAATTGCACCCTCCTGAAAAAATTTTATTGACCAAAAGTAGGATGATTTTTTTTTTATTTAATCAATTGTTTTGCCCATTATATGTATCAGATGTACCAAACAAAACACTGAAATATAGTGTCAAATCTATGTAAAATTAGTTTTTTTTGTTTATGGTAGATACTTTTTAGAGTATGTATTTACTTTACTGAGACTTTTATCAAAACTTCAACAAAATTTTCCTTCAATTAAAAAAAAAAAATAATTTCCCTCCCTCCCTCCTGTGTCTGAAACCTTTCAGGCGGCAATTCCAAACAAAAATTTTTTTAAGGATGGCCTTACTAACAAGATGAAACATTTATGACATAAACTCGATGTAATAATTCATTATAGATGTTTTTGAAAAAGATCTCATACGATGGAAAGAGGAAGATGGGGTTTTCAGTGAAAGCCACAGTTTCTCTGCAATGCTGGATAAAGTCCGAAAGCAACGTTACATGACATTTGTTGGTGTCCCAGGATCCGGGAAATCAGCAACGATTCATCACATAGCCCTGATCCTCCAGAAGGAAAAGTACGAGGTTGTGCCAACCATAGACATCAAGAAAATTGAAGATTATTCTGACTCTCGTAATCCACAGGTTTTTGTCATTGATGATGTGGTAGGTGTGCATGGTCTGCAAAAACAAAAGTTAGAGTCATTAATAGACTATGAAAAAAGAATTTCAGATCCGCCCAATAGAAATACAAAGGTATTAATGTCATGTAGGGAAGCCGTGTTTAATGAATGTTACAAATCATTTTTCTCAAATGAAAATAACACAATTAAGATGCATAGTTCCGAAAATATATTGAACGATGAAGATAAGAAAGCGATCCTTCAGAAACACGGCTTGGCTAGAGATTTGTTGACCCCTACATTACTGGGAGGAACATTGGATATGTTTCCTCTGCTGTGTAAACTATATTCAAGTGAGGGGAAATTTAGAAACAATGTTGAAAGGTTCTTTACCTGTCCAGCTGAATGTATTTTAGAACAATTTGATAAAATGCAAAAGCAAAATAGTTTATGCTATGCTACATTGGTCTTGTGTATGTTGAATGAAAAAAAACTATCAAAAGTAATATTGAAAAACCCAAGAAACAATGTTTTCCTGGATATGAAATCAAAAGTACTAGAAAGGTGTGAAGTTGAAAGTAACACTGATACATTTAAATTTGTTAAAGCATTGGCAGCTATGGAGGGTACATACACAAAACTCTGTGGTACCGAGTACACCATTATTCATGACTCTGTCTTTGAAATCCTTGTGTATCATTATGGATGTCAGTTTCCAGATCTTTTGTTGCAATATATTAGCAGTAGTTACATTGCTAATAACGTGAAAGTACAAGAATGTAAAGAAGAGTCAGAGGTTGAATATAAGCAAGATGAAAATGAAGAATTTAGTGCTGAGGAGCAGGAAACATTAAGTAGTGAAACAATCCAGGACTCATTTGAACTCTGCATAAGGTTAAGAGAGGATCAGTACCCAATGTTAGCAGAGCGTTTGTACAGGGATATAGAAAATATGGAGCTGTATGATGTTTTTATGAATAATGTTTTGAAACACCCCAGAGTTTGTCAGGCTTTTATTGAGGTGTTAGATACAAAATCGTACACAGATTTGAAGTCTTTATTTCTGTCAGAACAGAAAGACGTGTTTAAGGTAGTGAGTAAAGGAGAGCGTGTGTGGAAGGAGAGTGAGAAGAGGGAAATATGGTACTGGGAGAGGGATAGACAGCGTGTGTTGTTGAATGAGAAGGGTGATTATAAAGAAATAACATGCAGTGTGAGGGTTATAAGTTGGGTGGTTTACTACGGACACACTCAGATCCTACAATATATTTTAAAACAAACTGAATTACACAAAGAAACAAAGATTGAACTATTTTGGAATTCCTTAAACCCCTGGTTAATCTATGAAGCCAAAAAAGGAGAGAATAATGTGGAAACAAATATTGCAACAGACATATCTCTATCAAACTCCAATTCTGATACAACAAATCAAAAACAGGAAAATAGTCGTTTAGTTTTTGAACATGACCGCTTATTTGTATTGGGTTGTTACAGTGGTGATTTAGAGACTGTAAGGATATTAATCAAGTATGTCGATATAAAAGCGAAAAACAATAAAACACATTTGTTTAGTGATATTCCACTGACAGCAGCATGTAAGGGTGGACATATGAGTGTAGTGAAGGAGCTTATAGAAGCCGGAGCTGATGTCAATCAACAAGGTGAGTATACACCACTGAGAGCAGCATGTATTGGTGGACATATGAGTGTAGTGAAGGAGCTTATAGAAGCCGGAGCTGATGTCAATCAACAAGGTGAGTATAATACACCACTGAGAGCAGCATGTAAAGGTGGACATATGAGTGTAGTGAAGATGCTTATAGAAGCTGGAGCTGATATCAGTCAACAAGGTGAGTTTGATACACAACTGACAGCAGCATGTTGGGGTGGACATTTGAGTGTAGTGAAGGAGCTTATAGAAGCCGGAGCTAACATCAATCAACAAGGGGGGGATGATACACCACTGACAGCAGCGTGTGAGAGTGGACATATAAGTGTAGTAAAGGAGCTTATAGAAGCTGGAGCTAGTATCAATCAGCTAGGTGAGTATGATACACCACTGACAGCAGCGTGTGAGAGTGGACATATAAGTGTAGTAAAGGAGCTTATAGAAGCCGGAGCTAACATCAATCAACAAGGGGGGGATGATACACCACTGACAGCAGCGTGTGAGAGTGGACATATAAGTGTAGTAAAGGAGCTTATAGAAGCTGGAGCTGATATAAATCAGCTAGGTGAGTATGATACACCCCTGACAGCAGCATATAGGGGTGGACATATGAGTGTAGTGAAGGAGCTTATAGAAGCTGGTGCTGATATCAATCCTCAAGATGGGTATAATACACCACTGACAGCAGCATGTGAGGGTGGACATATTAGTGTAGTGAAGGAGCTTATAGAAGCCGGAGCTGATATCAATCCTAAAGGTACGTATCATACACCACTGACAGCAGCATGTAAGGGTGGACATATGAGTGTAGTGAAGGAGCTTATAGAAGGCGGAGCTGATATCAATCCTAAAGGAGAATGTCATACACCATTGACAGCAGCATGTAAGGGTGGACATATGAGTGTAGTGAAGGAGCTTATAGAAGCCGGAGCTGATATCAATCTACAAGGTGAGTATACACCACTGACAGCAGCATGTGAGGGTGGACATATGAGTGTAGTGAAGGAGCTTATAGAAGCCGGAGCTTTTATTAGTCTACAAGGTAGGTATGATACACCACTGACAGCAGCATGTAAGGGTGGACATATGAGTGTAGTGAAGGAGCTTATAAAAGCCGGAGCTGATATCAATCAGAAAGGTGAGTATAATACACCACTGACAGCAGCATGTAAGGGTGGACATATGAATGTAGTGAATGTGCTTATAGAAGCAGGAGCTTATATTAATCTACAAGGTAAATATGATACACCACTGTCAGCAGCATGTGAGGGTGGGCATAAGAGTGTAGTGAAGGTGCTTATAGAAGCCGGAGCTGATATCAATTCTAAAGGTACGTATCATACACTACTGATAGCAGCATGTAAGGGTGGACATATGAGTGTAGTGAAGGAGCTTGTAGAAGGCGGAGCTGATATCAATCTTAAAGGTACGCATCATACACCACTGACAGCAGCATGTAAGGGTGGACATATGAGTGTAGTGAAGGAGCTTATAGAAGCCGGAGCTTATATTAATCTACAAGTTAGTAAAAATACACCACTGACAGCAGCATGTAAGGGTGGACATATGAGTGTAGTGAAGGTGCTTATAGAAGCCGGAGCTAATATCAATCTACAAGGTTGGATTGATACACCACTGACAGCAGCATGTGAGGGTGGACATATGAGTGTAGTGAAGGAGCTTGTAGAAGGCGGAGCTGATATCAATCTTAAAGGTACGCATCATACACCACTGACAGCAGCATCTAAGGGTGGACATATGAGTGTAGTGAAGGTGCTTATAGAAGCCGGAGCTTTTATTAGTCTACAAGGTAAGTATGATACACCACTGACAGCAGCATGTGAGGGTGGACATATGAGTGTAGTGAAGGAGCTTATAAAAGCCGGAGCTAATATCGAATTACAAGATTGGTATGATACACCACTGACAGCAGCATGTAAGGGTGGACATATGAATGTAGTGAATGTGCTTATAGAAGCCGGAGCTGATATCAATCAAAAAGGTAAGTATGATACACCACTGTCAGCAGCATCTAAGGGTGGACATATGAGTGTAGTGAAGAAGTTACTAGAAGCGGGAGCAGATAACATTCTACAAGATAAGTCAGAAACACCAACGACAACAGCCCATTGATGTGGACATACGAGTGTAGTGTAAGATCTACCAGAAGCTGGAGCTGATATCAATCAGCAAAGAGTACAATACACCATTTGATAGCAGCATGTAATAGTAGACATATGAGTGTAGTGAAGGAGCTTATAGAACGTCGGAGCTGATATCAATTAAAAGAGTGATATTAATACTCTACAGACAGTAGCGTATATTGGATGATATATAGGGGGAGGGTAGTGAAGGAGCTTCTAGGGATATGAACTGGTCTAAATGAAGTAAATGGGTATCATATACCATATGATGGTGGGTTTAGTTTAGATGCCTATGTTAGACTTAAAGGGTGTGTCGGTTCTAAAGAGGGCACGCTGACTATTGAATAACTTTTTTTAAAAATCAAAGACTAAAACGTGCTGAGAGGAAAATATTGCTGAGTAAATCAAATAAAGATGAAAGATTAGGAAAAAAAGTAATTCCGTATAGTGTACATTAAAATATTATTAAAATAAGAGCATATAACCTGACATTATACGCAATGTTTTACCGACCCTTGCTTTTAAAGCCGTCTTAAGATTTTGATTTGTTAATATTTACAAACATTAATATTTGCATTGCTTCAGTAAGAGATTGTTTTTATCAGTCTTTAGTCAGTATGTGTTGTTATAAGTCATGCAAATTGTCCAACTCCTCATGCAATAAACATGTTTAGCTGCACTCTCCTTTTGAATTATGCTGCAATGGTGGGATAATTTTAGCCACAAATTGCATTGAGTGGAAACTGCCATTCTCTCCAAATTATTAAAGTTCATGATCACCGATTCCATACTTCTATATTTTATATTATGGTTGTTATACGTCAATTGTTTGGTTAAAAAATGAGTTTACAGTATCAGAGTTGAGGCAAAATTGTGTGAATGCTTTTTAGCTCACCTGAGCTGAAAGCTCAAGTGAGGTTTTCTGATCACCCGTTGTCCGTCGTCCGCCTGTCTGTCTGTCTAGCTTTCTGTCTGTCCGTCCGACAGTAAACTTTTCCCATTTTCAACTTCTTCTCAAGAACCACTGGGCCAATTTTAACCAACCTTGGATACAAAGTATCCTTGGGAAGGGGAAATTTAAATTGGTAAAATCAATGGCCAAGTCTCTTTCCAAGGGAATACAAACATAGGGTGGGGTCATTTAAAAAATCTTCTTTTCAAGAACCATTTGGCCAGAAAAGCTGAAATGTACAGGGTGTTTCAGAAAACATGCAACCATTTACTTTCCTCACCATATTGATATGCAAACAGGAAGATATGAAAGTGTTATATAAAATTATGCTAAAAGGGTACAAGTTTTTATCAATATCAAAAATTTTAAAAATAATTACCATTTTAATTAATTATGACGTCATATTTGACATCACTGAAAAAAGCAAGTTCAACATTTTTAATGTTGAATTCTTCAGGAAATCCGATACTGCTTAATCAGAGCATGTCACCAGTTCATTTGATTACGGTAATGCATGAAAATAAGGTTTACAGAATGCAAAGAACTTTCTAATAGCAATATAAAGTGGAAGTTGTATAAATCTGTTCAATTTTATAGCTAATGGAATAGTTAAACTTGATCAAAGAAAGGGGGGGATAAAAAAAATTAGAAAACATGAAAACATTTTGAATGTTACTAAAGAGGCAATGTTCCAGAGACTCACGTGTAATCCTTTTGTATATTTACTGAGTTTGTGAACAAATTGAGTGAGTAAAGCTTAGATCAGATGCTGAAATACGTTTTGAATCTTACACCTTAGACTTGATAGAACAAATATTAGCAGGACAATTCAACTCTTTTAAATCCATTAAATTGGTCTCCACACTCACCTGACTTAACACCCTTGATTTTTATCTGTGGGGATATTTTATGGTCAAAGTGTTTAAACCCACCCACCTCCAACCCACACCCCCAAAAAGAAAGGAAAAGAACCCCAAAATAGTTTGAAAAATGAAACCTAATTCATTTCCAATAGACTATTTGCAGTAGTAATGAGAACTTTCTTCCATCGGATAAATTTTATTCCTTTAGCAAAAATGACGCCATTTAGAGCATTTATTTTTAAATAGGTGAAATTTTACAAGTTTCTTTTTTCTTTCATAATTCATTATCTATTTGCTATATTAACTTTATTTTAATAAGAATAAATCTTGAAGATGTGACTTTTAATTAGATATGCTGGTGTATGGTATTGGTCAAAACACCAGTAAAATTTAATCAATCAAAATGGTTGCATGTTTTCTGAAACACCCTGTATATGAAATCATCATGGATTAGAGTTGATTCTTAATTGTAAAAATTATGACCCCCGAGGTAGGGCGGGCTACAATAGGGAATCCAATTTCACATAGATATATAGGTAAAAACGTTAAAAATCTTCTTCTTAAGAACCATTGGGCCAGAAAAGCTGAAACATATGTGGATGCATCCTGGGGTTTATGTAGATTCTAAATTTTGCTAATTCATGACCCGTGGGGGTAGAGGACGCCACAATAGGGAATTCAAGTTTACATTAAAATATATATGGAAAAATCTTTGGAAATCTTTTTAAGAACCATTGGACCAGAAAAGCTGAAACTTTTGTGAATTTTGGATAGTGTAGATTCTAAATTGTCCAGATCATAACCCCTGGGGATAGGGTTTGGTCACAATTGGTATTACAAGGGGGGGGGGGGGGTCTGTTAAAGATTAGCATGGCCAAAGATTCACAGGTGAGCGATGTGGCCAATGGGTCTCTTGATTTTAAATCACATAATAAAGATATTTACAAAGATGCATATCATTCATTTTCCTTTAACGTATATACACTATTTTTGAGCATTTTTTAGTCTATTGCAAAGTTTTCTAATTGAAACTAGAGTCCGCCGTCATTAAATGTTGAGAATTCTCAAAAGAATTCTCAACTCAACTCTTGAGATTTACTCAGCTGAGAATTTGGGAATAAAAGAGATTAACTAAAAATACAACAACACAGGTACCTTTTTCAAAAATAAATATTGTCATACTCATGCCCTGTAAAATCTCTCTAATTTTATACTGGCAAAGGGGAGATAATCCAAATATGCAAAAAACAAAAATATAGATTTTAGAGGATTTCACTTTTTCAAAAATATAAAAATCAAACAGCCAACAGAAAAAGCTGCATTTTTTCAAAAGACATCATACTCTATGGTATATGAAATTAAAACATTTTTGTGTAATTTATTGCATGTATTGGGGGGATGATTTCTAACAAAAATGAGCGATTTTACTTTTCTATGTCAACGTCCAGTATACGCCATAGATGCCTGCATGTAAAATGAATTTTACAGTTCAAAACAATTGTTTTAAATTTTCAAGTTCAAATACAACACAATTCTATGCTTTTTTCCAGTAAATCAATGTTATAATTTTTATGTCTGCCCACTAAGATGCTCTAATTTAACTGAAAAGGGGAGATAATCCAAAAGTGCTTAAACCTGAAAATATCAAATATCTGAGGCTGTTTTTGAGGTCAGAGAATACTGTATTCTTCAATTAGAAAAATCATTAAAGTGACTAAGAAAATCTTCCTAAATTGTATAATATACATGATTTTTATTTACACACTGATATATATTTTATGTTGTCCTTTTTGTACATGTAATACATTTCAATCATAACTAGTACATGTAAATATATTCATGATCTGAGCGACATTTTTCACACATCACACATGTTTGCCATTCAGGTTGATCATATACTCAAATGACTTTCAAAAAATTTCAACAAAGTTGAATTCATGAAAAATAAATCTTTTCATTAAAAACTCACTACTGGGAAATATGTAAAACAGAATATCAGAATTCAACACAGTTTTTTCTTTTGAAATCAACAACTACCATTTGTTTAGTGTTCTATCTTAGTCTTATACCGAGACATAAAACTGTAATCTTTAGTGCTTATAAATGCATGGAAGTCGAAGATGAAAGTCACTGCCTGATAAATTTTATCAGAAGTGTTGAACTGGTCTTCTGAACTCCAGTCTTTGTTTATTTGATGATGTCATTTCCAGAGATTTCTGAAATAATAAGGTTATCAATTATCACCAAACAATTGAAATTTATTGTATAAAAGGTTTATCAAAATTGAAGTTTAGGAGTCAGTATTGAGTATTCATTTATTATGGGACTAATATTTATCTTGCATTTGCTTTATTACATTTGAATAAGTTATATAAGAATAATGAAATTTTATTTTAAATAGAAATTATGAAACGTGTACAATTTATTGGGTCACAACAAATATACATTCAAACAAACATGTAAATGGACCTGCATGACCAAGTCAAAGACTCAAAGTCATAGCAAAAAACATGATAAAAAATATTTATGCTCTCAACAATATGAAATTATGAATCTGCAAATAAACTGTCATAAAAATATCATGAATATTTTCTGTGAAACTGGGCTAAACACAAATCACAAATCTAAGGAATGTGATTGTTAAGTCAAGGTCAATGTTGATGCAGTTGAATGGCTTCTTAATGTACAAATGCCACATGTAGTTGTACCGTTTGTGTAAAATTTCATACAAAACAGAGAATATTATTTTTAGCATCTTTGATGTAGGCAATCGATGCCATAAATGACAAACACAGTTCACTGACATTGCACCATTTTTTCTTTTTTTTTTTTATTTTTTGATATGTTCTGTTTTTTTTTTTTTTTTTTTTTTTTTTTTTTTTTTTTTTTGGGGGGGGGGGGGGGGGGGGGGGGGGGGGGGGGGGAAAAAAACAAACAAACTCAGAAATCCTTTAAAATGTCAATTGTGTGAGTATGTCAGTGTTAGAAGGTGAGGGGTGGGTGGTTGAAATATTCTTCTTCTAATCTCAAATTGTCCACTCAAATACATTAACTACATTTCTCCAACTGTACAACATGGGTGTGTGTGTCACTATGTATGGGATGGGGGAGGGGGCTGGACTTTCAATAAACATTTCATTTATATGTAGTAAAAACAAAGGGGGAGCCCCCCATCAATACTAAGTCAGTAAGTTCCTGCAGTTAATAAATCACATAAATGAATACAGTGCAAAGTGCAAACATGTGTTGCTTAATTTTAAATACATCAATTTAAGCATACATGCATATCTCTACATACGACACAGACTGATCCTTACCATTGAAATGTTTCGTCATCTTCCAGTTCAAGACTGTGAGATAAAACTCTTCTGTTTCAGTCACTTGGCATTACATTGCTTGCATATGCCTGGAATTTTCAAGACATTAAATAAAAAAAAAATATGTTCCTTTTAACATGTCTATAAAATCATATAATTATGCTACTTCACTTTTTTTTAATATAGATTTGAAGTGAACACAATAATGTCTTAATGGACTGCATCATCAAATACTTGAGAAATTACTCTCAAACACCTTTAATCTGGCCAGATTTTACAACAATTGTATATTACAGAACATAGGTATCAGGTCCGTTCGCATCATCTACCTGTTCGCACGAGTCCGTTTGTGCAGGGTTTGTTCTTGTTCGTCCTTATGTCCTGTTCGCCATAGATCCTGATCGCTCTATTGTAAATATTTACTCATGTCATTATCCCTGGATTTCTAGTCATTTTTGTTTTTTAAAAGATAATCTAGTTTTTTTTTTCCATCTGTACTTATTGACTTTATTTCTGATTTTAATATTATTTAAAGACTGATTTGGTTAAATTGCTCTTAATTTTGTTATTACTGTAAGAGAACTTCTTCTTTGTTAGTTTTTAAGGGTTCATATTAGCATGTATGTTTTGAAAATAATTAAGGAAATTGAGAGTGACGTTAACCATGAAACTGTTGAGCATGTTGACAATACATATAGTTTTAAGAATCTTTTATTTCTCATTTTATATTAAATGTACTTTACTGAACATAAATTCAAAATAATGTTTATCACATCAATTACTAAAAATATTTTTTTTTAAATTCTGAAAATAAATTATGATTTAAACCAAAATTCAAAAAAATCAAAGGAAATTATGAGTATTATCCAACTAACATATGCGCAAATGGAGCAAGTGTTAAAATTTTTATTTTAGAGTGAGCAGACTCAAGGCGAACCACAATAAGAGCGAACGGCATCAAGGGCGAATGTATACATGTACTATGCTTATGTTTCAAATCCAAATGAACTGGTCAGCCCCCCCCCCCCAATATACTTTTAAATTACTGTTTAAAGTGTAATCAATAAACAATTTTTTTTAAAAAGTCAATTTTGTATAAAAATTAATCTAACCTCTTTCAAAACTACATTGCTCTCACCTTCCAAGTTGAGTAAGTGCCTAAGCGGTGTGGACGGTCTCTCCGTGGGCTTACTTTTGCATTCAGCTGGAGGGCCTTGTAGTTGAACTTCTGACATTGTTCTTACTTCATACTGATATCGGCAGTATGAAAAAATTGTCATCACCTTGATCAATACGAGTATAGTAATTCCATAGACATGTTATACACAAGTTGCTGCTACAGCTCACCGTCACCGTATCTCTCATCAGATTTTCACTTCGTTTACTAGTGCTTGCATCCATAGTTCTGTTCTTGTGAAGTCCTTTTATGCAATTTATGTCAGTTCACCCAGAGATTTGCAATAAATAATGCAAATTGCTCCAACACAATTTTGCAAAGCGATCTGCCATGGAGGCTGCCATTTTTATTTTACTAGCGCCACCTATGAAAACTGCCCAAGGGAGATAATTTTTACAAAGAATTGTAGCAAATTGCACTATTTTATTACCCTTTAACTTTGCAATCATTCATTTGCACAAAAATATTAAAGTATATTTTATTTCTACTTTCCATCATTATTGTATTCATGTATTTAGTTTTTCCAAATCCTGTTGGGTTTTAAGGAAATTATTTCATGAAATATACACTATTTACATACAATGTATACAGAACACCCCCCTTTACAAATTTATCCCCAGCTGGGTGATGAATGAAGAATTACAGCAAAATCATTACTTATCATTCATTTTAGACCCAAATGAATACATTAAAATCAGATTTAATGAATTCACAGATTTTCACTGTACCGGCTTATTAGTACTATCTGCCTGATTCTTACGTGGAACAGTACTTAAGATATTATTTTTCTCATTTTTTCACGACGGCCACTGATCTGAGAATTTTGGATTTGAGAATATTCTCAGACTTTAGAGTATTCTCAGACTTAAGCATCTTTTATAACAGCGAATCGCCGAAGTGTCATTGTATATTCAGACATATATTTAGATTATCCAGTGTTTTTCAAATTTTGTCGAAATGTTTTGAAATTGTTATATATAACTGTATATATTTACCTAATGGTATGTAATATGTTGAATTCATTTGTTTCAGTTTTCAATGGATATTGTGTATATCAAATAAATGCACAAATTGTAAATGATTATAGTTAAGTTTCAAGTAATATTCAATTTATTTGTCCTTTCAATGAATTCTTTTCTCATCTTAAATTGATAATAAACTTACTGTAATGTTCAGCTTCTTTATTTTTTTTGTTGCTATTATAGTCGAAGAGCTTATGCAATAGTAAGGTGCCTATCGTCCATCTGTCTAGTTAGCTGTCTGTTCGTCTGTGAACAATATAATAGAAATATTTTTAATATGCTAATCCTCCCAAAGTTTTAGTGTGACTTCAAAATAATTTGCAGACAAGTAGACTAGACAAAGTTGCAAAATTCTCTTTATCTTATTTTTTATTTCGCTGGACATTGTTGTCATGGTTACTAAAAATGATATTTCGTTGATGCTACTCGTCCT